TATTGTGACTATTTTAGCAGTCCCCTATAATGACAACGTAACGATCACTTACCATCACAGTTTTGGCTTCTGCAGGTGCGGTTCTTTTCCCTGTAAAACTGTTAAAAATGTAAACATGTCTATACTGCTCCACTGAGTTTAAGTTGAGAATGTGTTTTGAGGCGTTCCTGTCTTGTTACTAGCAAAATGCATGGCACTTAAACCTTGGCTTTAACATAACCATATTTAATTTACCCCTCTGAACATCAGCAACTCTCATGAAAGGCCGAGAAGCCGCACGTCCGTCTGCTTTATTGAAATCCAAATCCCTGCCCTCCTCATGGCTGTGTACATAGAAGTTGTTTTGTTTGCCTTGTCCATCTGGTTGCTCTCTTCGTGGCTGCGACCGTCTGTCCTTCTGTGGTGGGAGTAGAGCTCTGGTGACTCAGTACACTCATCAGCAGCCCCACTGATAGTAGCTTTTATATTATCATCCTAGTTGTTGGGCCAGGAGCTCACCATGTGGATACCAGCCTCCTTTAACACTCTACTGACGGTTGTTCAAATGTGTCACGTACCATCTGCTCACACTTTTGATTTATGGAAAGAATTACCAGTTTTAGCATCTGTCTACATGACTCTTACGGGTTCCTTTTTGATCGCTCTAGTTATAACTTGAAAATGGGAATTGCATGAAGTAAATAGCTTATATTAGTTGGTTTACTTTGTTAGCTTTTGAATGCGCTGGAAACGAGAAGGAAGAAGGAGAAGGATGAGGGCTCTCCAGACACCCTCTGCATGACACTATGGCCGCTCAGGAGTAATCTCAGGAGTAATCTCAGGAGTAATCTCAGGAGTAATCTCAGGAGTAATCGCAGCAACAGGCTTCTGCGCTACAGATCGGAAAGTTTTAAGAGATCCTTTGTTTCTTCGGCTGTCAGAATGTGCAACAGACCTCTGAGTTAAGAATATGCACTATTGTTAGGTAGTTATTTAGAAATTAAGGTAGTTAATTGATGTACTTTTGTGTTTAAATGGTTGTGTGTGGAATGAATAAAGTATCTATCTATCCAGCCATTCAGACACCAAAAGCATCAATTTGTGAGGTCTACACCAACTGCATAGCGTCAGTAAATAAGACGTCAACACTTTGGGCAACTCCGTACTGAGACAGCCTTCCTTACAGTTTTAAAATACCTTATTTTAAACACAGACAAAGGAGAATCTTCTATTTTAATTCAGATTTATTTATTTGTCATTTGGAGTAAAAGCACATTGGAAAACTGCAGAATTCTTTTAGATTTAAGCTCTGCCTTCGACATTATCAACCACAAGATTTTATTGGGTTGCATCAAAACGTGGGTTGACATCAGAGATACTGCACTTGGTTGGTTTTATTCTTATCTTTGAGACAGAACCTTTGCGGTCACCATGGGTAATTTTACCTCCTCCACAGCCCCCATCACTGTGGTGTACCGCAAGGTTCTATTTTAGGTCCCATTTTATTTTCTATTTATATTCTCCCCCTAGGACAGAGGTGTTCAAACCGGTCCAGAAAGGGCTGCTGTGGCTGCAGGTTTTCTATCAGACCCAGCAGGAGCAGAGCAGACTCCACCATTTCCTTCAGTGAGCTCAGTCTAAGTCTGAAGATATGAGGAAATGGGAGGAGTAGGTGATGAGAAAAGTTACTTCTTAAAAGTGAATACTGAATGCTTATTGGAGAAATATATCTACCGCAATAATAAAAATACAATCTTCTTAATGGATGTGGTCCAACAAGTTATTTTAAGAGTGAAAATATTTTTAAGAGCAGACTTTCTTACTCTAAATCTCTCAGAGAGATCTCTTTTCCCTTGCTATTGTTGCTGTTCTGTGTCTGAGTGCTGAACATTCCATAAATTGTTTTTAAAAACTCAAAAGTGATGAATGACATGACTTTAGTTGTGCAATAATCGACTGTAACAACGTGAAGCAGGAAGTAGACACAAATACATCAGGCAGCCATCGTTACAGCATCCTGTTACAATTCATCCCTGTCAGAGCTGTGTGAAAGCTCAGTTATGGCTGTTAGTGTGTCCAAACAACGACCAATGCACAGACTGTGATCATTACATCCTGTTAGTGCTAATAATGTCGTTCAATTGTATAACTTAAATAACTGTAGTAAACAAAATGTGATTACCGTGTACATAATGTGCCGTTTCCCTTTAAAGAAACATTTTAGCCTCACTCCCATCCATCCATCCGTCCATAGTCTTTTTGCCAAGATGTGTTCCGTGTGGACACTCCAAGTTGGTTACTAGTTTGTTATTTAGACGGCAATAAAGCCAAACTGTTCTATAGCCTGTTGCTTATATGTGGGGGTTTTAAAAGCACACACGAGGTACAATACTTTGCAGAATGACGGAATAGTTGTTACGTGGTGGAAAGGAGGAAGGACCAAAATTCAATACTGCAAAAATGATATATTTTATTAAACAAGAATACAAAAAATAAAAACTAACTGAATGTAAAAGCACAAGAACCACAGAACAAACATTCACTGGACTGACAAGAGGGAAAGAGCACCGGGAATCTATCTGGAAGACAAAAGTGAAACACATGAATCAACAGAACAGGATGTAAAACTAAAAATGACAATAATAATAATATATAAGCCATGGAGCTCTTACTGTCAGAGTTTGGGCTTTTGCAAGCGTTGTTTTTCCTTTTTGAAGATGGATGATAATCTTGCCATAGTTCATTATGTAATCCATTATCCAGGATAATGTTATGTTTTATAATTATAAATATCATTATTATATACACAAACTAATGAAAGTTTTTTTTGACCCTATTATTTTGGCACGTTCCTGTCTTCCTCATGATTGAAAAGCTGACAAGGATGTAAACAACACGCCGATCTTCCCCACTGTTGTCCTGGTGCGAGTTCATTTCATTTCATTTTTCATTTCATTTGTTTATTTCTTTCGAGCCCATAACATTACACATTTGTTTACACAACAAGCATCCCACAACATTGCACAAGAACAGAACATGATTCACTAATGCTCCTGTGCCCTGAAGAAAAATAAAAAAAATAAAACATAAAACCACCTATTACATATTCACATAGGCCTTGTTGTTCATAAGCACACTCCAAGAGCTCGAAAATGGAGTGGGAAGAAGAAAAAACTTATAAACTCCCACCCCATGTATATTATGATAAATCATAATGTTTCATAAAAATAATAATTCATCCAATTCGCATCACATTTGAATGATACGCCGCAGCGGGCTCAGCACCTCACCCCGACCGGTCCCAGAGACAACGAGCAGCACTATAGCAGCAGACAAACTGCGCAGAGGATGATCCCGGCAGCACACACCAGCCCTCCACAGCCATGCCCCGAGTCATCACCCCAATGGGAATACATGCATGTTTCCTATACCTGTTTATTTACTCTATTTATTTATTTATCTTTTATATATATATATATATATATATACATATATACACACATACACACATATACATATATATACATATATACGCATATATATATTTATATATATATATATATATTTGTTTTTCTTTTTTTTTTTTTCACATTCCATTAGAGAATCATGATTGTTTACTTTCCTGCGCATGCCTTTCCAAAGGAGCCGATTATCACCACAGTGACTGTCATAGCTCCAACAAGACCAGCCAGAAAGCACACACATATCATTCATTAATATTTATGTTATATCTACTATCATCCAATCCAATTGATTGATGAAAAAAGACAGTGGGACACAACAACAACAACAACAACAACAACTTATTCTTGTATCACCCTAATCACAACAGAAGTCATCTCAGAGACTTAACAAAACCATTGAAATCACCAACACAGATCAGAGAATCAACAGTTAAGACACAAAATATACACATATGAATTGGTCCATAGGGAGAGACCAATGTCCATGAATGTTGATAAATGTCCATGTTGTAGAATGTTAAAGTGTCCTGGATCATCCGCACAGACCCTCCTGCATCAGAGGAAAAACTTTAAAACCCAGTGGGAAAATTGAAGTGAGAAACCTCGGGGAGACTCACATATTGAGAAAGGGATCCGCTCCAACACGGACAGACGGGCTGTAGATCCAGGACCTAAGCTACAGAACCAGGACCATTTCCACGCAGCGGCCGCAGAGCGTGGACAGGTCCGGTGCAGGACTGAAGCGCTCCCAGGTGGGTCGGGCAGGACAGTCCGCAGGTGTAGATGGAGAGGGTCGGTTCAGAGGTCCCGTTGTCGCGCCATGAAACAGACAATAGGACAGCGGGTGAATAGCAATGAACATGCGACAGTCAAAATCTTAACAGCCTGATTTTTGACTCAAAGGTATTATGCAGGATATCTCTCAAGCTGCGGACCCTTCCTCATGAAGTTTATACGTATGCACAGTTCATACACAAGGCAACTCAAAGGGCTGAAACAGAACAAGACAGAAAGAATCACTTAAATTATCAAAGCACATTAAAAAGAGTGAAGACAGAATCAGATAAACGGAAGTGTTTTTATCCTGGATTTCAACATTGTCAGATTAGAAGCCTGTCCCATATTGTCAGGAAGACTTTTTGAGATTTCAGCTGCATAAATGGAAACAAACCAGTTGCTGAAAATGTACATTGTGACTTTTAACCCATTGGCTGCCATTGACGTATTTGTTAGAGAACGGTGATTTCTGTCAAACTTCCCTCTATTTGACTGGGAGAACAAAACTAGCTAAAAACCAACATATTTTTGCTGATGGAAGTAAACAGTCCAATCTTTCCGAATATAGTTTCATATTTCACATAGTCATAACTTACAATATTCTGTGGGTCTTGAAAGTCAGTGAACTCATCAAAAACAGCTGAGATTAAAAGATGTGTTGATTTCCAATAACATTTTCTTATCTTTTACCATCTGAATCTTGCAAAACTTTTCAAAGCAGCCTCCAGCCCTTCCTTTAATCCTGGTTTTTTAAACGTCTTTTTGTTTGTGTCCCGACAGCTACATCTTCCGACTGAGCTGCACGCGGCTGGGGCAGTGGGCCATCGGCTATGTGACCAACGACGGCAACATCCTGCAGACCATCCCCCACAACAAGCCTCTGTTCCAGGCTCTCATCGACGGCTACAGAGAGGGCTTGTGCGTAACTCTATCGATCAGCTGTTCTAAACCCTGTGTGCGAGCAGATGAGATGCTATTGGCAGCATCTGTTTGATTCTCTGATCTGTTGTTAGTGAATCGACAACTTTATAGAGTGATTTAGGGCTATACAGAAATACATGTCATTGAATTGATGCCCATACAGTATGTAGTTAAAGTGGTTGTCTGGAGTTTGTCAGAAAAAAGAGAGAGAGGTACATGATTTGAAGAAAAACGACCCAAGCTCCTCCCCCTTCCTTTCTGATTGGTCTACGCCTTCGTTTCCGTAACAATCAATCAACGCATTTAAATGTTAATCTGAGAACACATTATACATATACATTATTAAAACACATGCACGGAGGTTTTCAGAATTATCTGTTAACGTTTTCATGACAAAAATAATGTTTTAATGCACAAAAAAAGCGATCGCGGTAAACCGGGAAGTAACTATTGTCATTAATCGAACATTTTGGGACACATCTGCAGAGGATCTGATTATAGATATAGGTTCAGTATATAAATGATTATAGATATAGGTTCAGTATATAAATGATTATGGATATAGGTTCAGTATCTAAATGCGCGGATGTTCAGAATTCTTTGTTCAGTTTTCAGGTAGTTCCAGAGCCTAATGGAGATGATTGACAGCCCTTGGCATCACCTGATTGGTTAAAGTGGACGGCATCGTGGATTTTGAGCTATAGCTAAGAGAGGGGAAGGCGGGACTTACTCGTAATATTAGAATTCATAAAGTGACTTTAATTCAATTTAATACAATTCTTAAATGTGTAATTCATTTAGAGTTCCAGACTATCACTTTAATCTTACCTGTGAAATAATAAGTGGTTGTTGCTTTGAGGCTGCTAATCCGACAGCCTCAAAGCTTTTTCTCTTGTCATCCATCACTGACAATTGGCTGTGGTTTCACTGTACTGCAGCTGGATAGACAGGGGGGCGCGGGGAAGGGGGTCCTGTTTGAAGAGTCTCTGGATTTGATCAAGTAGGGAGGCCTCGGCACCTCTGGGGGCACAGAAGGTCCCATCAGGCAGGCTTTCATGTGTCTGTCTTGGAGCGTGTATTTCTGCTCTAACTCGTTTCTCAAACTATGCCGTAAAGATGCCCCCAGCTGTTTGTTGTAAATGTAATTATTTGTGTGTGCAATCAAAAACTCTTCTTTTTAAACTTTTCTCATCCGTCTCAATAAGGTCGGTGATGAAGAGCGATGAGAGGGTTTTTGTCAATTTAGAGAAAGGATTTGACAGCAGATTGTGATGACTGAGTGGATTGAGCTTCCAGCGTGTAAACATGAGATGTATGTCTATAGTTGATGGCAGCTGAGGAGCACATAAAAGTAAAATAAAAGTAAAATAAAAACGTGCCACAGTGATAAGTTCAGAGGCCGACCGTGGTATTTCTCCTATGTGAGATCAATAAAGTCGGTCTTATCTTCTTGTAGCCCTCAGTCCTGCTCCTGCCCCTCAGACTAGTGTCCCCTGCAGCTGTATTTGTCAGTATACGGTTTCAGACAACCAGCTGGATATCGTGTGTGGTGAGGGGTTTTACTACATATAGCTGGTACTTTGCAGATTTCGCTTCTTTCGGGTTATTCATAAAAGGTAACCCCCGTGATTGGCATGTTTTTAATTGGATGTAAGTCAATGGGATACATAATAAACCCTCATATCTTTTCCATTTGCAGCTACTTGTTCCCTGATGGCCGCAGTTATAACCCGGACCTGACAGGACTGTGTGAACCCACGCCTCACGATCACATCAAAGTCACACAGGTGAGCCTAATATGTTTCAGTTAAAAGCCCAGTCCAGCCTGCAGCTGTGGGGACGGCTGGGAAACGTTCACGTACCTGCCAAATGTCACTAAGCTGTGGGCAGATTTATAAATGACTCAAGGAAACCGCGACCTTCGCAAATGGTGAACTGAATCTTACTTTCAGTTCTTATATTCTGCCTCTTCCTGTCAGTTGTTTTGATATATATGAAATGCTTGCACAACACACTGAAATAACACAAATGCATGAGGAAAGAACCACTTTGGCACTAACTTATACATTTTGAGTTTCAAAATGGGAGCATCATACATACAGTTGTTTATCTACTTTAACAACTGCAACCTGTTAACAAACAGTAATAGATCTGATTGACTGGAGCCCTAACTTCTCTGCCACCGACGGATTCATTCAAAATGCACCAAGTTTACTAATTATTTAGTGGCTTTTTTTTTGCAAAGGTGTGAAAATGTTTTGCATTGATGGGTATTGTGGGAGATATATGATACTGAGGGAGATACAGGATCTGTCTCTGTAAACAAAAACTCAAAAAGTATTATTGAGTGTAATTATCATCATCAAACTTACTTACTCGAAGTCCGGAATTAATGAGTGCTATATTGCCTGCCGTTTTTGATGATATTCACAGATTTTTCAAGATCAACAGAATTTTGTGTACTATAAATAAAGATTACTTACTTACTATGACTATGTAACATCTGAAACCAGATTCTGAAATAATGGGCTGTCTATTTGTAAAAACCCTTTTTTCAAGTTTGTTTCTAGCTTGTTTTGTTCTCCTGTAATCTCCAGTGTACAAGAAATTACTGAAATCGGTTTACTGAAATCACTAGTTTCAGATAAAAATCTGACAAACTGAGGTTTTTGTGAAAACAACCACACCATGTAGAAAAGTGATTTTAACACTATTTTGTTTTACTTCAGTGTTTCTTCAGTGCCCACAAGTGCTGCTTGAATAAAAAGCCCTCAATAAAAATGTCTAAATGTACATATTAAAAGTAAACCAAAAGGAAAGCCTAGTATTCATCCATTAGGAACTATACATTTTGACAGTTAGTGCACATATTGCTGACCTTTTTATGCAAGAACCCACCCCCACTGGTTTACATCTACACAGTGTCACCTTGTTTTGTGCAGTGAGCGCTGTGACGATGAACGAACATTGCGGCTCGCTCCTGGGGCAGGTAGCATTAGTGTTAGTCCACTTTTTGGTGTTTTTTGGGGGCGCAGCACTGGTCTGTTGCCTTGGTCCTTCACCATGTTTACAGTCTCCTGTCGTAACACCAATACTGCTTGAACCGCACCAACTAAAGCCTGTTCCAATGTAAACCGGTGGTATTTCTCAGCACCTCACCAGGCCTCTGACTATCCTCAATAACGTCCTGACCAATAAGAAAACAAGTGATCAAACACCCAAAGTGCGCTGATAGATAGTATTTTGTTGAGCCAAAAAAAATACTATCTACAGCTTTACTCTATACATGTAAAATGAAAATATTGAAATCGCAATTGACAGATTAATCCGCCATTGGCTCAAGTAGAAATTACAACTTGAACTGATGGATTAATCTATCGTTAGTCCGATAGTTAAGACACAAGACACAGACAAGACAAAACATGAACCACTAAAATCCCTCTCAGTTTTCCGAGCACAGTCTCCATGTTCGAGCTGAAACCATGTGGAACTGTCTGGCTTATAATGATAAGGTTCTTGCAAACAGTATCTTGTTATTCTATATATTGCATGTAGTGTATTGTGCATGGTGTATTGGTCGCTGCTGTTCTCCTGAAGCCCTGACACTACTTTCTTGGTTGTTTGTTTCCACAGGAGCAGTATGAGTTGTACTGTGAGATGGGCTCCACGTTCCAGTTGTGTAAGATCTGTGCGGAGAACGACAAAGACGTGAAGATTGAGCCGTGTGGCCACCTCATGTGCACGTCCTGTCTCACGGCCTGGCAGGTACTCCCCATGTGTGCCCCTGCTGCCCCAAATGATGCATGAGAGGCCAGTGGTAGGAAGGAAGGAGATGGTCATGGTTGTAGCAGTAGCAATAGTAGTCTTAAAGCTGCACAAACTCACTTGGTGAAATTTTAGAATGTGAGCGTGGCCTCGCTCTCTCTGCTCGCCCTCCCCGCACTCACGGAGCAATCGCCCCCCACTACCCCCCTCCCCCTCAGCCTGTGCTTATATGTGTTTATGGAGCTAGCGTCTCACAATATGGATCGCACATCTGAACGTAGCGTGACCGCAGAATGATAGAACCGGGAAGTGCAGAGGAACGAGTCTTTCTTTTGGCTGTTTCTCTGAGTAAGCAGTAACCGATAACAAAGACATGGAAGTTTCAGGTTAGCCTCCGCCGCTTGTTTACCTCAGCTGTCTGTGCTAACCACAGACCTGTGGCTTTACTCAAGAAAGTGGGGGCCAGTGGTCCGCTGTGATTGGTCACAATCTGGACCCGAAACAAATTATCTTCCTTGTTTCACCAAAACTCAATCTAAGATAAAATGACACGCCAGCACAAACCTGATCTACTTTTTCGTCAAAAGGACGTGTATCCCACTGCACTGAAGGATATGGATTGGATTTAACTAATGAATACAAAATTCATTACGAAAATGAAGTGAGGTAATACAGCTTTAAGTAGTCTTAATAGTAGTAGTAGTAGTAGTAGTAGTATTCGTAGTAGTAGTAGTTTGTAGTAGATTGTAGTAGTTTGTAGTTTGTAGTAGTAGTAGTTTGTAGTTTGCAGTAGTTTGTAGTAGATTGTAGTAGTTTGTAGTTTTTGCCTATTCTACTTTTATCAGTTTTCACCACAAAGGCGCTGTCAGAAAAGTATTCGGTAACGACTCACAATATTAGCTAAAATGTGCATGAATGATTGGCAGCCTTGCTTCCATCCGTCGGCTCCACATGAACCACCGCGTTGTGGAGTGAAGGAATATTACAACTTTAATAATAATAATTTGTATAAAACCAATGCTATAATGATACAGGAATATTCCCCCTATAATCAGACGGTTCTATCTGGCGTTTTTTTGGAAGTTACTGGTTTATTTTTTAGTCTGAGATATTATTATACTTATGTTATATATACTGTGTGAGTTGTTGGAGTAGAAATACTTTACCCCTCTTTGTTATGACTTTCTATCTCGGAACAATCTGGAAAATGGCTGGACAAAGGTCTTGACGCTGCTCAGGTCTATACAATAGATTTAGCTTCCAATACGAAACAGGGGCAGTTTTTGATCAACCACTTCATGTTTACTTTTGCCCACAGACTGTCCCGGTTTACTTGCGTTAACAAAGATGAAATCTACGCGGAGAAGTCAAAGAAGTCTGAGTCCAAATGTGGTCCGTCGATTGTTATCTTTCGAAGACGTCACAAAAGAACTGAATTTAGCACATTCAATGTCTTCGTTATGAGACATTTTATCGCGCAATACGGATTGTGAAATAAAACACATTTTCTCCCGAGTTCACACGCCTCCATTCCTCTGCCAAAGTACATCTGCGAACAACAAGGCTAAGGTTGCGGCCATGTGGCAGTCTTTGTTTTGCTATTGAAAATATGAGGACTTGAATTTTCAAGACGATAGCATTGTTTTTGTGACTGTCTTAACTCTACTGAAACAGCACCCGTGGACCATCAATGTACCACGTCAGCAAGAATTAAGCAGTCATTTTGAGCCAGTTTAACACGTTTCTTCAAATTCACAATCAGGGCCCATGGTGGTGTTAAATGACACACCACAATGCACGTCCTTCAGCTCTTCAAATTATATCAGATTTTGGATTAAGGAATGGAAGAAGAAACCACCCCCATTAAATGACTCGCGCTTGTTGGCAGTATGAATCCAACACTGAATTATACATGACATAGGGACAATAGGTGTTTACCTTTGACCCAAAAGTAGTTGCGCACGCACCTCGTCTTATTTTAAGGCCTTCTTGCTGTCGCGGTGAGTCACACTTCCCATTTTATCTTAAATCAAGGGGGGCTCCCTAAACAAGTTTACAGGACAAGGTCAGACATCAAACATGAATGTTTTGCTTGTTGCTTGGTTCGCTCGTTTGCCCAAGTGCATTTGCTCGGAAAAGAAAAAGATTCGTACGTTTGTCCACTCGCACTTGATGGAAAAACACTTCTGCCACGTAATTGATTGATAGCTCCTTTGTCTGAATCACACTGTGGGTGTGCACCAGAGTCTACTAAAAAAGTGATCGGTTTACCCTCAATCTTCGACAAACAGTAGTTGGCATTTTCTGTAAGCTTTCATTTTCATAAGCTAAGTAGGTCCCTGTGTTGGGCCTGTCACCGCTCTATAACTTCTCCTAATTTATCCTCAAGTAATCCAAGGCAGTGAATCAGTGGCAAGGCGCGTCTTCATTGCAGTTAGCTAGTTAGTGTGTTGTGTGTAAGAGTGTGTGCATTATCATCTGTACAGGTGCTGTGTCTGATCCCACGTCAACACCAGAATCAATCTGAAGAAAATCTCTGCTGGTCCTCGGTCTCGCACCGTCCAAGTCCACTCCAGCGTCCCGCATTCGGCGTGGTGGGGGACAGTCACGATTCCAATGTCAATTTCACCACCAGTTGAAACATTTGTCCTGGTCGTCATGGACACGATCGTTCTCGAATGTCCGTTGCCACTCTTTCTCCGTCCTCTACCTCCACGACCTCCACGACGGAATGTTGCCCGTCATTTGGATAATGTGAGATATGGCCTGATGCTTGTGCCGTCATATGCGCGCCAGTTTTTCACACAAGCATGCGAGATGTAAGATGTGTTTTTAAATAAGCAAAGACATTTGGGTATGCCAAACTTTTGTGCATGAGCCAAAACAGATGGCTCGGGCATGGTGAACCGTTCCTAACTAATGCCATCCAGTGCTTTACTGATGTATCCAGTACATGCCTCACTCATGGTTCACATCAATTTTTAGAGAATCTCCCATGAGCCTTTTGGGTTTGTAGGAAAGTATGGGAAAGCCAAGCGGAGAAGTGCGCCCCTAGTGTTAGGTTTCTGTTTTGCATGTTGAAGTACCTACTGTAAGCACATAGCTGTTGTCAGAGCAACACGCAGCCTGAGCCTCCACTTTGGTTTTGCTTCTAATTTATAGTACAAAGTTCATTCTATTGATAGTTTATTATTAGTTACGTATATTGTGCATATGACAATCTGCTGCTGCGTCTTGTGTCAAAATTAAAGGGCGTGGCCCATCCAATAGAGACTGATGGACTCACCAGAACTGACTGACAAAACTGATGCCAGAGCCCAACGACCACAGAAAGACCCTACCAACCTTGACGTAGCTCGCTTAGCTGACAAACCTATTCAGAATTATCAGGGAGACACTGACCTGACTGGACAGAGTAGGGCTGACCTGATAGTCCCGGATGGTCAAAATGTCAATCTGACCTGGGACTATGTGAGGGAAAACACTTCAGAGAAGAGGAAACATCTGGGTTTCATTTAGTTGTCTAGCCGCTGCAAAGACTTCCATGTACTGTATGGGGCTCAGACCAAGAGTGTATAAGACAGGAGAAAGACAGGACAAACTAGTGCATGGAGCTCCATGCGACTGACGGCCTTTCTCATGCTAAAACTGAAGTAATAAATGCACTCTCTAAACTTTATTTTCGGCTTTTGTGAGAGTTATTTGAATTCAACCACTACCACGTCAGCAAAACACATTGGTTGTGGTTGTGCCCAGATTTTTTCTCAAAACTTTGTGTCTAAAGGCACATATGTGCCTTGCCATTTAACACCAGCTGAGTTCAACTTTTACATTTGAAATGTATTTGTGTGGGTTTCACACTGTTTTCTTTTCAGCTGGTGTTCTTGTAATGTGCTATACAGACAAAGCTGACATTGACATTGACAGATGTGTAATATATTAAAATTACTATAATGTTATTGTGTTTTTCAGGCTGAGTTTTCGGAGGTGAATCTCGTGGCTCACTCCAACGGCACCTGTACCATCGACATGCAGGTGGTCCGAGGAGGCACTCGAGTGGTCAGGTAACACTGGACAACAAATGCTTTTAATCCTGTTACTCGGTATTATCACTGTAGGTCCAAACACGCTAATACCAGGACCTTTTGGCTTATTCATCAGAAATATGAGCCCGGAGAGAGAGAGAGAGCATACAGAGACCATAGAGAGAGACCAGATAGAGAGCAACAAGAGACAAGAGAGAGCATAGTGACAAGAAGCCAAAAATACATACATGTGAAAACATGTGAAAACTAGTGATAGGAAGTAAAGATTTTAATCAAATTGTTCCATTGTATGTGATTTGAAAAATACCCCCCTCACCAACTGATTTTACGCATTCTTAAAAGTCTATGAGAATCCAAAATATAAAAAAGGTACAAGACAAGTTTACAATATTCTTGATGATGAATATGATAATGAAGTAAACCAAATTAAAATCTCTTGGGAAAAGGACCTCCAAAACGCTGTGGCAGATGAGGAGTGGAGTTTGGGCTGTAATAACAATGGCCTGATATTTGAAGTCTCCATACTGGCAGGAGTTTGCATGGAAGCTGTTGGTCAGATTTTTTAGAACACCTCTGTCTGTCAGTAAATGCACTGACCAAGAACAATTCTGCTGGAGAGACTGCGGTGAAATACAGACAGACCATGTGCATATACTGTACATGCCCCAAAATTCAGACCAGCTGGAATCAGGTCATACAAATTATCAAACACATCTGTGGCCAAAATATTAGCCTGAAACCAAAACACCTCTTACATGGTGTTCAACCGAACGGTATGGGGGAAAAATAAATTTACATCTTTTGGACTCTAAAAATAACATCTATTACACAATTAACTAAATATTGGAAGAAAACTGAAATCCCCACTATAGTGGCTTGGCATGAACTCATTATGCAAATATGCAACATTGAAAAACGTAAATTTAGTAATCTAAAGATCTATGAAAATGTTGAAAAACACAATGTTTTAAAGACTTCAGAAGAAGCAAAGCCGCTGTCAAATGTAGAGCCTCAACCAAGGTCACTGTTTTCTGCAAGGAGATAGTGCCATTTGGGATGTCAACATGAACTCTGTTCATGCTTACTCTGTGCACTCAGCAAAAGCTTCTGAGATAAGGGCTCTTCTGCCAAAAGTGTTATCTGAAAACCGTGGTGTGGGTACATTGTTGATCCACACAGGGGCGGTAGACATCTATGGGAAGATGAGCGAGAAGCTGAGAAAGGATTTAACTCTGCTATTGGACGACCTTAAAGAAATTGACATACACATTTATCTCAGTTGACCCCTTCCACATACAGATCGAAAAATGGAGAAGTTTAGTCGTCTACTACCTAAATACATTTCTACTCAATGAGTGCTCACGCAGAGGACTTGGATTCATTGAGAACTTTAATCTGTTCTGGAATAGGCACGAGCTTTTTGAAGGAAAAGGCCCACATTTGAACAAATACGGAGTAAAAGTGTTGATGGATAACTTTGCATCTGCCCTAAGACCTCAGCCTGCGCAGCGCGTGCAGCCGTTGAAAGAGAGGAAAAAGCAAAGGGCTACTTCTGCACAGACATCACAACCTTCTCTACGGAATCCAGAGGTCTCTGCACTTCCACTGCCTCAAAAGAACTCAACACCTACACCAGCATCATCATCAGCAGCAGATACAGCACCAGCATTGGCTGCTGCATCGTCTTCAGCAGCACCTTCCCCACCTACAGCTCCCGTGAAGCCCTCTACCATTGCTCCAGGCTACAGCAGACAGGCCTGTACTGGGGGCCTCTCAACCACCTCCGTCTCCACCAAAGACTCCCTCATCACCTTCCATGGACCTGGTTTGGGTCCCCCCTGCCACAGCCACTCCATCTAGGGAAAATGACGACGACCTTTCCCTTTGTTTTCCATCCCCGCCTTCACTACTGGAATTACCGGAACACTGTATGATAAGATCGGCGATGAAGACTATTCCTCTCACACCCACTTTAGCCAGATCAAGAGTGCTATCTAACATTCATAACTACTCCCCATATGTACCTCCAAAGCCACCTAGGGCGTCCAACTCAAATTTTCCCACAAAATCCACCCGTCCCTCAAATTCCAACTCAAATTCAACCACAAAATCCACCTGTCCCCCCTCAACCCCAAAACTATTCCAACACCACCCCCACCTCCCCCTCGTTTAGCCCACCTCCCCCTAACCCATAACCAAGAACCCCTCCACCTCCACTCCCCCCTCGTCCATCACCCAACTCCTGCCCCTCCCCTAACCCACACCAAAAACCCATCCACCTCCAACCCCCCCTCGTCCAACACCCAAGAACCACCCACCTCTCCATCCTCCTCCCCCCGCTTTCCCTTCTCCTCTTATCTCTAAACACTAGGATGCACAGGGTCTCTGCTTCGCAGCCACTGGCAGTCTAGTTAGAGGAGAGACCCAGCTGGGGCCCTCTAATGAAGCTACCTTTGCCATTCCCTTAGTGATAACAGAAAGATTACATAACAGAAAAAACATCTGAAGTTAGTCAGTCTAATCTGGAAAATCTAATTCTTGTTCTGTGTAAAAATCAGCCGACCACATCACAACTATGCAGACGACACTCAGATCTATGTCTCACTGACTGCAGGAGAACATGGACAAGTGGATTCACTCCTTCACTGTATCCAACAGATCAGTGAGAGGATGCAAAACAACTTCCTTCAGCTAAACGCAGACAAAACTGAAATGATTGTCTTTGGTCCCCAGAAACAAAGAGCGTCATCTGTCACCTACAGTCTCTCTTCCTAAAACCTTCAAACAAGGTCAGAAATCTAAGGGTAAAACTGGACTCAGACTTAAATTTTAACAGCCACATTAAATCAGTAACATCAGCAGCTTTTTACCACCTAAAAAACATTGCCAGGATCAAAAACATAGTGTCTAAAGCAGACTTGGATATTTTTATCCATGCATTTGTCTCCAGTAGGTTAGACTACTGCAATGGCCTGCTCACAGGTCTCTCCAAACAGGCTGTAAGACAGCTGCAGTACATTCAAAATGCAGCAGCTCAAGTCCTGCCTAGAACCAGGAAGTACGACCACATTAGTCCAGTCCTGAGGTCTTTGAACTGGCTTCCTGTGGCTCAGAGAATAGACTTCAAAACAGCTCTGCTTGTGTACAAGTCTCTCCATGGCCTCGCACCAAAATATATTAGTGACATGTTAGTACCATATGAACCAGCCCGGACTCCATGTTTAGTTCTAGAGTCAGAACTAAACATGGGGAGGCAGCTTTTCAGATTCATGCTGCTAAAATCTGGAACAACTTTCCTGAAGATGTGAGACAGGCCTCCCTTCTGACAATGTTTAAAACCAGGTTAAAAACAGTTCTGTTCAGCTGTGCATACAACTGAGGGATTTTATATTTGTATCTTTCTTTTTAATGTACGGTGATTATTTATGATTTTAATGCTTTAATCTTATTTTGTTCTGCACTTTGAGTTGCCTTGTGTATGAATTGTGCTACACAAATAAACTTGCCTTGCCTTGCCTTCCTTTTATGTATTTTATTTTGTTTGTATTTTAATTTTGCCTTTTTTTCTTTTTTTTTCTAGCTGGTGTTTATTTTTATTTAATTTTGTTGTTGTATCTTATGACACATTTCACATGGGTGCTTTAAAAATAAATTCATGTATATGCATAAAAAATATGTATATGTATTAAAAAAATATTGCGTTATGCTTACAAACTCTGTACATTCACTGTACCAAATGAAAAACAATAAAGAATTCTTTTTTACTTTACTGTAAATATCAAAACTCTGACCTTTCTCTGCATCGCTGCTGCAGTCACTTGCAGTGACTTTACCAGAACCAGAGAACCAGAGAAAAAGACACCAGAGAGAAACCAGAGAAAAACCACAGACTATAGAGAGAGCAGCCAAAGAGAGAGGGAGAGCAGAAAAAAGCTGATTTATAGATGTGAGAGAGGTCTACACACATGCATGTGACAATTAAAGATAGGAATAGAATAGATTTTATTGTCTATGGGTTGAATGTTACTGTAGGTGCATGAGCACATGAGCACATACTGATGCTATGAGATCAGATGAAATACAGTAAATGTGTATTACTTTAAATATCAAAACACTGACCTTTCTCCTCGTCTCTGTTGCAGTCGCACATCACTGTTCACAAATTCCTCATCTGGATCACTGCAGTTTGGATTTTTATTGTAAAGAAGGAAACAATAACTATTTATTATTCTATTTTATTGAAATGTTTATCTGGCATTTAACAGCAGTGACTAAGAGAAGGAACATGGCAGAGAGAGCAGCAAACAGAAAAATAATGCTGCATTGATTTTCCTAAGATATTTGAGGTTTAATTTCCTTGCCAGACTTGGACCTGTGTCTTTTTAAATAGTGTTCCGTTCATTGAGTTGGACTCAGACAACCGTTTCATATGGGTCTTGATGTCTAGATCTTCTCTCCCTAACAAACTCATCATAGCTTAGACAAATATAATTCTTAGGGCCGGGGCTTTAACGCATTAATTAAGAATGCCAATGCCAGTTCTGTCAAAATAGCAAAAAATATCCGGATTGCCGGTGTAACATTGGATTGTATCGCAATAGTGAGTGTCTCACGGCAGCCGAAGCAAAGCAAGATGGCGGACATACAGTCTGTAAATAAAATTTTAAAAAAGTTTAAATACTAACGAATTGAGTCAAGATGTTGATGGTTTCATGTTGTTATATGTGGGTTTTAAGAGAAAAATGTTTGGTTTAAAGATGCCTTGCGGAGTTTGCAATTTTTGTGCTCACCAAGCCCCCTCTGGCCAGACGTGTAACTGCAGCCTGAATGAGAAGCACGTGCACTAGGAACAGAACAGAAACAACAGCAGATATGGTCCTGTCCTTGATAATTTACAGATTTGCGGGGATGACTTCAACAGAGGTAAGAAATGTTAATGTTTTGTATGATATTTAGAAGGGCGACAGTAGCTCAGTTGGTAGAGCATTGGCCTTCAGGCCTGAAGGTCGTGGGTTCAA